AGAAATTACAACAAAGTAATCAAGAACTCTATGAGGTAGTATTGCAATTAGCAAAATCAAACAGAAATTTTGAACAACGGCTATATATCTTAGAAAGAATTATTGGTATATAGGAAGAAAGAATACGGTTTCTTAAAGAAGAGTTAAATAATGCTATCGAAATTTTTATACTAGAAAAAGAGGAGCTAAAAGAAGAAATTTCAAAATTAAAAAGAATTGTCTACCAACTCAAGGAAGAAAATAAAAAGAAAGATAAAGAAATTTCAAATAAGAATGAGTTAATAACTAAATTTAATGAATAAGAGACAAAATTAAAAAACTAAATATGAGAGATATCCAAATCTGCAGGCAATACCCCAAAGCACAAGAATATACAACCAGATTAGTAGATAAGAATAAATGGCTTAAATAAGAAATAAATATGGTAAGAACTAATCAAATGAATAGGATTAACAAAATAACTCAACAAAAAAGCCATATTACAGACCTGCTTTGTCAAAATTTTGCATTATTCTAATTAAGATATAGAGATAGATTAGAGCTTATAAATACCAGAAAGGCTTTGCAAAATGCAGAAGCACAAAATATTAATGAAAATAAATCTGACTCTGATGAGTATTCTTTAGATATTTATAATTTTGATCAAAATTTAGATATGGGTACAATTAGGGATAGAAAATGTTTTAAAACATAATTTTAAAAATCATGATTGTTTGATTTAAAACTGATTTTAAATATTTTAAAATATTATGACGTAATTATAATGATAAATAAATTATATATTCATTTATATGTATTAAATAATTCCTAAAAATATAAAATCATTTTTAAATTACAAAATTATATTTTAACAATTATGCTTCGTGGAAGGCCTCTATTAAAAGATATTCACTTGAACTTTACAAAAATTACTAAAACTGACAAATTTGGTCGAACTATACCTTGCCAAAAATGTATCCATTGCGAAGAAGACTTTGTTGATATAGTTAGCCAATTAAAGGAACACTTATATAAATGTAAAAAGCTTCCAAAAAGTATTAAAAATTCATTAAGTAATATTAATACCAATACTGATTTGAATGAAGATAAAATGCCGTTAACTAAATTAGATGTGAATTAGAAATTAGAAAGATTTTTTTATTTATCTGGTATTCCTTTTACAGCTATTGAAACCCTCTTTTGGGAAGAATTCATAGATGCCGTTCACCTTTATATTAAAAAGATAAGCCCATTTTATATTAGTTCTAATCAACACAATTTGGCAAACAATTTGCTTGATTCTGAATATGAAGTTGGATAGCAAAATTTGGCTATAATTCTTAAGAAAGTAACAAACATTACATTAGTTTCAGATGAATAGACAAATATCCAACGAGAATCTGTTATAAATTTTATTCTTTGTCTTTCCAAGCTGATCTTTTATAATGTGAAGTATTCTGGCTCAGAATCTCATACTGCAGAATATATTTATAATGAGCTAAAAACTATAATTGAAGATGTTGGTCTCTCTAAGTTTGCTAGTATTGTAACAGATAATGCAAGTTCTATGCGAGCAGCTTGGAAGTTACTGAATAAAAATTACTCTCGATTAATTTGTTTGGGCTGTAATGCGCATATTGGAAATCTTTTAATTAAGGATATACTTAAACTTGATTGGATTAAGAAATTAATCAATTATGTAAAACAGATTATTAATTTTTTTTGACATCATATTGAAGAATTGATTTTACTGAGCTAGCCAAACACAATCACTTTGATTCAACCTGTTGACACATGTTAGAGAACTTGTTTAGATGCAATTCAATCAATACTTCAATATAAATTAGGAATTCAAATGACTATTATACACCCTAAAATTAGTAAAAAAATGTTACAGGATTTTAAAGAACAGATACTAAGCGATTTATTATGGAAAGAGCTAGAAAAATTAGCTTCTTTCCTGATACCTTTTGTTAGGCTTATACATTTATTTAAATCAGATGAACCTTTGCTTTCACACACCCATTACGAATAGCAAACACTTCAAGAAATGGTTAACTTATGTAACTTGAATTTGGAATATAAACTTAAAGTTCTTGAATTAATTGACAAACAGTTCAATTTTGCATTTCATCTCACAATGGCAATTGTGAACCTTCTGGATCCTCAGTAAATTTTTAAAATTTTAACGTCAATACACAATATAATACAATATATTAAAATTTAAATTAGGGTTCATAGAAAATCGGTAAAACCAAATGATCTTGAAAATATTATTGTTCCATATATTGAAAAAATTTATTCATTTGAGATTGCAGCATGTGTAAGTATTATATATTTATTAAATTATTAATTTTAAAAATTTTTCATTTATAAAAAGATTTATTTATACAAAAAATTCTTTACTTATATTGAAAGATTTTTGGAGTAATACAAAAATATATCGCAAAGTCTGACGAATTTTCTGGATTATTACTTTGGGCATCTGTTGAATTTTCTAGCTCTACTAGTTGGTGGAAATTGAAATTTTCAAATAGGTTTCCTCATGTGGTTAAACTTACTTGCCGGGTTCTTTCTGTTCTGGCTTCTTCAGCTGCTGCAGAACAATATTGGTCTAACTTCATAATAAACATCGTGCATGTTTGGATAATAATCAGGTTAAAAAACTTGTTGCAGTTTATTAAAATTTGAGGATTTAAAAAGAAATTGAAAATGACAGTTGGTTTAAAGATGCCATTAATTTATAATCATGCATTTAAATAATAGAAAAAATGGGTATTGATAAAAAAAAAAACAATACATATAGTTAAATCATTAACAATTTCGCAATAGATGTAATCATAAATATATTTCAAAAATAATATAATGAAACTTATTTGTAAGAACGAACATTGCCTCAATTTAAGAATATCAAGGAATCTGGCTAATACAAAAATTAACTGATCAAATGCGAAAATTTCAATTCTAGCCTCAACCACTGATATTTTAAAATATTTTTTAAAATGTTATAAAAAACATAAAAAACTGTTTAAAATATTTTTTTTCCATTCTTAGATACAATAGCCGAATTGGCCAATGCTATAGACCACTCCCTAGATGATACAACAATATATTCAACTATTTTAAAAAATTAAATTAAGAGAGTAACAAGATCAATCTGATATAAATATGCTAACCTGCAACAAGATCTGGTAAACGAATGATAAAACTGTGATATATACAGGCATGAGCGCGATCAAGCAATACAGGAGCATGATCAGTTGCAGACTAATGCTCAGAATCAAGTAAACAGAATGTTAGACAATATAACAGGAAAGCAAATCCGTATCAGTGAATTGCTATGTAAAAATTTTGCCTTACAAATCTTATATTAACAAAATGCCCACCATCTACAATGATGCAGAGCTGATAGAGGGTTGTTAGAATATAATAAAAACAGACTCTATAAGTGATATGAGAAGTAGAAAAATAAAACTTATACAGAGTGCCAAAATATTTTAATTTTAAATTAACAAATTTTTGTGCTACAGAATAACCCACCTAATATACAACAAATAGGAATGGCAGGATATACACCCAAAAGATTCTCAGGTAGAGCAAATAAAGATATAAATGAATTCATAAAAGATTATAAACTTTATCTTATGGCGGCCAATATTAATACTGCTAATGCGGCTAGCAAACAGAGAGCTTTAGAACTATTTTGGTCATGCTTGACAGGTAAGGTATCACGTTGGATCAAAGACAAACTTATAGGTAAAAAATGGCAATTGAATCATATAAGATGTAGAAATGCTTTAGCAAATATGGCCACTAATGGCTGCCATGATCAATGCACTAAATGGTACTCTACCACCAGCATTACCAGGTAGAGCTACTGATACCACAGTTATTTCAGCACATAATATTCATATAGATAAGGATTGGTCTCTTGCTAGAAGGTGTCCTGTAGATGCTAGTATAGCAACTAATACACCAAATAGAGTTTTAAATAATAATAACCATATGGGCAGCCATCAATAGAAATCAAGCAAATCTACATTTAAAAAAAAATTAATGCCTTAACTTTCATAGCTCATAACTCAATGAATTTTAAGCTATTTTAATACTTTAATATTCAAAAGAAAGCTTAGATTATAAGCTTTCTTTTAAATATTAAAGTATTAAAATAGCTTTAAAATTCATTGAGTTATGAGCTATGAAAGTTAAAGCATTAATTTTTTTTTCAAATGTAGATTTGCTTAATTTTTATTGACGTCTGCCCATATAGTCCTTTCTGATATCAATATTAGTCAAGTCATTTATTGGTTTAAAAGAAATTATTCTATAGTTGTTTGAGAGCAACAACAAATGATCTTTGGCACTTTGACTCAAGAATCCGATTTAGTTGAAGATTACTATAAAAAGATAGATAAATATGCTAGCTAGACCTGAATATCTGATTGTGAAAAAAGAATACAATTTATATATAGCTTGTTCTCTGAAAACAAGTTAGAATTGAAGCGATTAGGTTTAAACAGACCTCTGAATGATGATTTGATTGAAACCTTGAAACAGATTGAAATAGAAAAGAATGACATGCTTTTGGATAAAGATATTTATAACTAGCTAGCTACTAAAACAAAACCAAAAGCACCTTTTCATCAGGGTATTACTACAGAAGATGTTAATAGGATTGTAAATAGTAGGATTCAGACATTACAGCAATCAACACTAAATCAATCACCAGCATCTTCTTCCGGTCAGGAAAATATTACTAAGGCTGATTTACAAGCTGTAGCTAAATCCTTGCAAGAGACTATGTCTTGAGCAACTAAAACTCTAGATAATAGTAAAAATCAGCTAATAAAAGAGTGGAAAATACTGCTGTTATATGTTTTTTGAGTGACTTACTAAGAAAAAAATCATATATACACCCTGCTAATGAAAATAATCATGATTCTGTAGATGATATTTCAGATAGCTTAGTGAGATTAGCATTAAATAGTGTTATAGATACTGCCATCAAATGTGCTATTAAAAAATCTTCTTCAGGCTACAAATATTTCAAGTGCGGAAAGTTTGGTCACAATTCTCAAAACTGCTCTCGAAAGAAGAAAAAGAAAAGCAAGAAGTCTAGAAAGGGTAAGGTTAACCTAGCTACTGTAGATTCAGACTCAGATTCAGATTCTACCACTAATACATCATCTAGTGACAGTTCTGACTCTGATACAAGTTCAGAGAATTCTTCTGATTTTGGAGGTAATATCACTGTTAATATGGCTAAGTTAAAAAAAAGTGAAGCAAGGCTCTAGTTCCAAAAAATCATCTTTTAAAAAGATATCTAAAACTTCATTGGAGGAAACTATTTGTAAAGTTCTCCAAAGTGAACTTAAATTAATTTTTCCTAATCATTTTTCTTAAGACCCTATTAAAGCTAATATACTGAATCAAGCACCTCTAGTCCAGGAAAAGATAGAATCTCAAAGCAATACTTCTTTAATTACCGAGGTTGTATCGCTAAATCCAAATGAGGAAGAAGATTTAGATGGTCCAATAGAGATTGATTTCATTAAGAAGAAGGAGCCAAAAACAAGTATCACAACTGTAAAGTGTAAAATTAAGCACTTAAAGATTCCAGCCATGACAGTAGACTTTGGGGCTGAACCTCCTATTATAACAGAAAATATTGTTATACATGTGGGAGCTAAAATTGATAAATCTGAAACACATGATCTTAGTGGTATTGCTAATGTTCCGGTTGAATCTGTTGAAGTTGTTTGCAAATTATCTATTACTCTAGCCCCAGGCTGTACTATTTATGAAGATTTTATTGTTATGAAATATCAGAAGCCGACGTTAATATTTTCTAATTAGCTTTTGAAAAAATACAATTATGTATTGGGTTGAAAAACTAATGAGCTAAAAATTCCTCTTAATGGAAAAGATTATATTATTCCAGTTACTATGCATAAGGTCAAAAACAAGCTCGAGGTAAATTGTGTGACCACTGCTCTCGAATGTGATAAATTCTCGACTCCAGACTGTATTTTGCAGGATTTAAGTAAGGATGATGATGTATTAAAAAAAAAGTGAGTTATAAAGAACTTGAAAAAATGCTATATAGCACTCTTAAGTATAATGCAAAAATCAATGAGTATTGTGAAAGATTACAGATATGCTATGATAAACTTCTTGCTGAAGGTTGGTAGAGAAATAGGTGAGTTATTTTTCTAATATACTTTTTATATTTGCTATATTTTTTATGTTTTTTTCAACTATCTTCTTATATAATATGCATAATTCCTCTTTGTTTATATTTGAGCTTTCTAAATTTATAGAAAATGGTTGAATTGGTCCTAAAAGAGGCATCTAAGTAATAGGTAGTTCAAAAATACGAACAGACTTGGACTTGAATTTTTCTTTTGACTTAGTCTCTCTAGTCTTTTTTTTCTTGCTATCAGTCTCGCTGGGGCTAGATGCCTTTGGGAGCATATCAGCTAATACATATTCACTACTCTGTTGCAGACATTCATTATTATTCCATATATCAGAGACACAATTTTTATTAATATGGTAGTCTTTACTATTATATACGTGGTAGGGATTGGAACCACTTAAAATTTTCTTAACCATTAATCGTTTAACTATATTAACCATAAAAATTTAGCCGGCATTAAAATTGTCCTGGCCTATGATAAACATAATTCAACCCAGCACTATAAAAAATTTTTTTTGCAGTTAAACGGTTCCAATCTCTAATACGCAGGGACCTTATTTTTAAGGCATCTGATTTCTTCGACCTGCTCTAGTGTTAAAACACTGGCACCTCGTCGATAATGAGTTTTTAAAAATTGGGTAGGCATTAATTCTCCAGTATTTTTAGCAATATTTTAGAATGATAAAAAATGATAAAAAATATTATTTATTGTTTTAGGATGACAAAGAATGATAAAAAATATTATTTATTGTTTTAGAATAGTAAAGAATGATAAAAACCAATATTTATTATTAGAGAACATTTGTTATTATATGGGAGAAAGCAGGCCAAATTATCAATTAATGTTTGAATGAATTTTTATTCGCGTATTTTTTTTTCTTCTATGTAACTATGCTAAGATTATGTCTAATATGTATACACTGAAAGACCTCAATAAAAGAGAATATCAGCTAGGTAGTGCATATGAGCAAGAGTTTAAAAAAAAAATAAGTTCCGTTACTGAATTTAACTCTAAGATTAACGATCTCAGTGAAAAGCTGGTAGATAAATACAATAAGTGGAAAAAAGAGTATTAGCGAAGCTATAGTGATATTAGAAATAAGATTAGCCAATTAAATACATCTAGCACTAAAGTTAGATCCCAACTTATTTATAAATGGAAGTCTCATTCTGAGAGTTAACATGAGCTTGAAGCCAAATATATTGCTAAAATCAAATCACTCAAATCTTCTATTAAAACTCTGAAGAGAGAGGTAACCTTGGCCCAGAAAGCTTTATCTACTAACAAGATCAAAATTCTTTCTCTTGAAACTAAAGTACATGAATTGGAAAGTAAGTTGAAAGACTTGAAACCAGATCCAACATTTCATAATTTCAATGTAATAGGAAGAATGATAGAAGAGCCAGCCCAAATAAACTCATCTAATCTCAAAAAGATTGATTCATTGCAGAAGATTCCAGGTTGGATTAGTGATAATCTAAGACCCCTTATCCACGAGCTTGGTCTCAAAGATAAAGTTATGGAATTCAATAAAAGTTTTGCCAGAGAACATATATTAGAGACTTTGCAAGAGCTATTACTCTGGGATGAGATAGTTTCGAAAAACCAGGAAGTTATTCTACCTAATCAATCTGTTTATAGTCTATCAGCAAATTTCGAAAACTTTATTTCGAGAGAAAGGGTTGTGAAGCAATTGGATAGTGAAGAAGTGATGTCATCACCTCAAGTAATACCTCTAGCATCAGTAACTGTTCCTGTCATTATTAACTCTCTAATATTACTGATAGTATTATATTCCATATTTGCTTTTTTACTGATTGTGGTTATATAGTTTGTGGTCAGGAAATACTGGAATTCACCTAAAAAAAGTAATACTGACTATTCTTCTAACCAGAACTATTTTTATCCTCTCCAAGTATATCTGAGGCTGGGCTATATAATCAGAGGCCGGAAGAAATCCACCCCATGACCAGATCGAATATAGAAATTGAAGTTAGCCAATATTATTGTATGGGAAAAAATATATAAATAATATTATAAGTTTTTTTAGCTAAAATTGTCACATCCTGCTAAGTGTACTTGGAAAGTTTATTGTAAGCCTTTTATATATTTTTTAAGCTATTTTTTTGCCTTGTTCTAGGAATAGACATCAATCTGCTTCTCTTTTTCATCTGAATTTTTGAGTTGCATGATCTTATGTGAAGAGAGTGGTTGATATCTATCATCATCATTGATAAAGCATGCATATAATCTAACAGTTTTTTCTAAATAGTAATTAATATCTATCTTCATATTAAATTCTTTTACAATATCTAGAAATTCCATATAGTCAGCATTTTTATGCGATATTAACTGACTATTTTTATCATGATATCATTCACCTTTCACAACTATATAACTAAAGTGCTCACCTGAATCAGGAATCTTGTTTTTATATTTTTCCTTCATCTGTCCTATGAAGTGCTAAATATATTTATTATCTCTATTAGGCTTCTATGTAGCCATTGCAACAAATTGGTTAAAATTATATTGCTTTTCACTGGCTTCTCTAAAAGTGTCTTTGACAATTTTATAAATCAAGTATGTATTGTTAATATCTATAGCCTCTTGCATAAGTTTCTCCCCAATAAATTTGAAAAGTTGGAATACTACCAACCTCAAACCATCTATATTTTGCTATAATTTGACTAGCTCCCTTGCTTAAGGCAGTTTCATTTTCAATAGGCTAGAATTTCTCTTCTCTCTCTGGCTTTTCAGAAGAAAAGATTCAAGGCCCAGATTTTTTTTGCACAAGCATGATAATATATATGGAAGAAACAAATATAAATCTACATAAAAATTCTAAATCTTTAAAATAAAAAATCATGTTTGTCAGCAAACTATTGTAACAAAAGTGATCAATGTAGTAGTACCTAAAAGTAGTGACTATGTGAAAAGAAATTCAAACATAGTATAGAATCGGTAAATTTGGTATTTCCCAAAGGTAAAATTATATATAGTAAAAAAAATAAGAAATTATGTCTTTGGGGGACACGCCCAATCCACCTGAAACTCAGTATACATATAATCTGATCATGAGCTATCAATATGAATATGCAGATAGCATCCAACATAATATCCAGAGTGGCATCCAAGATGGCATCCAAGGCAAAGCAAATAACCCATTAAATGGAAAAACAGAATATGGAAATAGCTAAATCTCTTTAGAGTAAAAGGAATTTGGTGTTCTTCAAAGGTAGAATTATATATAGTAAAAGAAATAAGAAATTATGCCTTTGGAGAACATGCCTTTGGTATAGAATTTGGCACCCAAACAAGTACAAAGATGCAGTAACTATGATATAAAACTTGGAATCAAAAGAGGTATAGACAACTCGCACCTTTAATATAGAACTAGGCATCCAAACAGGTAAAGAAGGGCAGTACCAATAATGTAGAATTTGACATGCAAATAAATTAGAAACAAGAAAAAAATGATAATATATAAATCATGCGGTGGTAGCTAAATTTAATAGTGGGTAGTAGTTAGATTATATAGTAGTAAAATATGGATACTAGAAAGAGTTTAAATAAATAGCTAGAGCATAAAATAGATATCCAAAATAGAAAATATATAAACTATATAATGATGATTAGATTATTATTTAGATTATATAGAGGTAATAAGATTATAATATTTAGATTATATACTAGTACTTATATTATATAGTGATATTTAGATTATAGAAATATTTAGATTATATAATATTATCTAGATTATAGTGATATTCAAATTATATAGTGATATCTAGATTATATAATCTAACATAAGTGAAATACCACTATATAATATAATTATATTATATAGCGGTATCCCACTTGATTCTATTTGATCTCTCGAAATAAACAATTATAAAAAAAGTAGATGAAAACTAACTTCTTTTAATTAATAAGCAAATTTTGTTGTAGTTAAA